TAACTCTTGAGCTTTTATTGATACTTTGGGGTTATCATCGTCAATTTCGTCAAATGGTTTTTTATTTGGAAGGATATCTCGCAAGATTTTCATCAATTGCGGGGAACTCACTTCAACGTACGGTTTATCATTACGTGGATATACGACAACGAAGGGAATAATGTTGATACTTTCAACTTTTACCCTACGTTCCATTTTACCATAATATTCATCATACCATTCATCAAAGCATGGCCACTTCCAGTCATCTTTATCAACGACTAAAGTTGACATGGATGAATCTTCAGTTTTTTCAATAAGAGTGTTATTTGACATGTTTTCAAAATTGATATAGGAGAGATGAATGAAATGGATGCTTTTATAAAGAAAACCATGGAAAAAATTCTCCGGTGGCTATACTACTACGCAATCAAATATCATAAGAGTGTCCAAGGTACTGCGGTGGCAGAATCTGCGCAGAATTTGTGAAGAATAAAGTGAATATAGTCTATTGTGACTCAAATTTTCTTTTTTGTTGTAATTTTTTAAAGTATTATTTTATACGTCACCGCAGAATTTGCTAATTTTTAACGATAATTGCAACAGGATTTTTAGTTAGAGCAGCAGTAACCTGAACACTCTAATCATAAGTAATAGGATAAAAAGTTCCGATATACCCAAATTTTTATATTTGGGTAATTATTTTAAATAGAATCCCGATTCATACGTAAGTACATACGTACGTACGTATATCTAATCGGAGTAAGAAATCCACATGCGGGAATCAAATACTAAATTAAGGGTAAATAATAATCGACCAATCAAATAAAAAAGACGGTACGTAATCTGAACCTTTGGGACATCAGTAAAAAGTGTTGAGGCAGCGATTGTAAAAAGTGTCGAGGCAGCGATTATTAGAAATGTCGAGGCAGCGATTATTAGAAATATCGAGGCAGCGATTTTACCAATATATTCTAACTCACTTATTGTACTTTGCAAAATAAAGTGGCATCGAAAATATAAAATAATAGACAATCAAAAATTTCTCCGATCATTATCCAAATTATTTTGCACTTAAAATTTGGCCGACCTCTAAATAAGGGGAGACTACACACATACGTACATACGCAAGTACGTGCGCAGTCTGCGTATGAAATTTGAAAATTCAACGATTTGCTTAATTTTTACAAGTCAGCTTTATCTAAATAAGGTATCACGCACATACGTAAGTACGTTAATTATTAAAAATACTATATGTATATAAAATTGAGTTATACCGTATGATAATTCATAAAAGAAATACAGTACCGGACAGTAAAACGCATCCAATGTTTATTAGTAAAAACTTTAAAGTGTTATAACTTTTTGAAAACAAG